TTCTGGTTATGGAGATGATGAAAAGGGCTTTTATACAGTGTATCGTAATGTTTTTGAAATGATTGCAAGGGAAGAACTAGAATCTGTGTTAGAGGAGGATGTTGAGATATTTTTTAAACTTTATGAAATTTATTTTAATATATATTGATAAGAAAGAAAAACATAAAGACAATGTGAGCACTAAATGTAATCTAGCATTACATAAGTCTTTCTAAAACTGATTTTATTTATTTTGCTCCTTCTAAAAAAAAATTGTACACTACTCAGGGTTTTCCATTTGTGGATATGCAGATTGAATGTTCAGTGTAATACCAAGGCTTAGAGAAAAGCCTGAAATTTTTACTTAGGTAGATGTGCATAATATATCCTGATTTTTGGCTATCATGCAGGGTCTCTTTGCTTTTCCCTAGCTGTTTTTCTTTGTTTTGTACACTCCTTGTCTATTTATGCCATTGCGATGGAAGAGGTCTCATTTAGATTTGTCCTCTACATTTTTGATGACTAAATTTCTGTCTTTTTTAACAGATAAAAATCTGGATAATGCCGCAGAAGCAGCTGAACAATTTAAATTAATCCAAGCAGCCTATGATGTGTTGAGTGACCCTCAGGAAAGAGCCTGGTGAGCATCAGCTATCCTTCCCATCCTAGTTTATGTTATTGGGAGAAATTGTCAATATACGGGTTTTTTTTTTAAATTTAATATGTTAAATGATTTTTGGTATGTTCTGAAGCATTGGTTACCTACTCATCATGTAAAATGCAATATTTGGGTCAGAAGGAACCTTAGAGATGATTACTCCAATTCTCTAATTTCATAGGTGATGAAACAAAGTTTGGTGATATTATATAGTTTTAATTTTGATACTTGAAGTAACTTTTCATTAAATGAAGTCCCTTTGATGTGTGACAAATTTACCAATATCAGATAGGAAGTATGTTGACTTGTCCTTAAAAACACACATAGTGTTTTAATATAAGAATTATAATATTTACACATAACTACTTTAAATGAAGAAATTGAGTTAAGCTTCTACATCTGTGACAGATGCTTTTACTAATGATGCTCTGATCATTTAATATAATGTCCAAACAAAAATTTCTATATTTGAAGTTCTGAGTTTTCAGATTGTCAATTAACTTTTTGCTACAAAGGAATAGGTTTTAAACCCTGACATAACTCTGCAAGATCCTGCAGTTATGAAGAGCTACCGTGCAAGTTGTCCGTGTGTTCAATGATGTACAGTACAGGTGGCTGTTGAGAGAAAGGCTGTTAAAAAAATTCTTAAGAAATTGTCTTTTATAAGAAAATCAGAGAGAAGACCCTGAACTTTTTTGTACCTGAGGAATCTGGAGGTCTGGTCTTAGAATTGCTTTTGCCTTCCTCTCAGAAATTCTTTCCTGACCTGCTTTTGTCTGGCCTCTTTTCTGTATCTTAGGTTGTCTTCTCATCCCAAGGATTCTGCTGTCTTTTATTTAAAGCTCCTGCCTGGTAGCTCTCCTGTTACCCAGAGCCAGTGCCATGTAGTGCAAGGAGCCTGGTCTTTGCAGTGCAGTAGACCTGCTGCTGAATTCTGGCCTTGCTGCTTATTGGCTTTATGATTATAGGCAATAAGTTATTTAATATTACTGAGCTTCAATTTCTTGTGATGTCAAACAGGGATAATAACTACTTTTACAGAGTTATTATGAGTAATAATTGTGTGTGAAGCTCCTATATTAAGTTTATATACACATAGGATGAGTCTTTTTCTGATGCATGTTGGTAAATTCCCAGATGACAAATGTATAATTATTCTATAGACCAAGTTATATCCAGTACTATCCTTTTTAGTAATGTTTCTTTCCTGTGGAAATACAACTACCTTTTTAGGAGAGTCATTTTTAAATTCCCCTGTTCATATGGGCTAGTGTTGTATAATGTATTAGAAGTTGTGGGCATAATTTTAATCAGCAGTTCTGTGAAAGATTATGTATACTTTTCTGTTGATATTTCCTTAAAATTTTTTGGTTGTGGATTGGATACATTGAAATGTATAATAATATTTTGGCAGTTTTGGAGTAAGGAGTCTTTTTGGATTCTTATTTATTCAGCCTTCACCGATGATGCTAACTTATTATTTTTTGTTTTAGGTATGATAATCATAGAGAGGCCCTACTTAAAGGTGGGCTTGATGGAGAATATCAAGATGACAGCTTAGATTTGCTTCGCTATTTCACTGTTACCTGTTATTCTGGTTATGGAGATGATGAAAAGGTAAGGTAAATGAATTCACTTTCAATTTCTTACCAAGCATTAAGTGAGACTCAAATACAAAGAGAATTTTTAAAATTATTCTGTAGTATAAGGTAGTGTTCCTTTCTGAAAACTGGAAATACATTGCTTTCTTATTTAAACTGTCAATGTATGAAAACCTCCAGTTGAAACCTAAGTGGATTTGCAGTGACAGAACTTGATCCTATGATTCTTCAACATTAAAGTTTTGTATTTTACATTTTTAGATGTTATTCTGTGATTAGGCTACAAAGGTATTAACAATCTGTGCTTTTGTTACTTTTTTTAGGGCTTTTATACAGTGTATCGTAATGTTTTTGAAATGATTGCAAGGGAAGAACTAGAATCTGTGTTAGAGGAGGATATTGAGGATTTCCCAACTTTTGGAGATTCCCAGAGTGACTATGATACGGTAAAAGAAAAATGCATTGCATTTTATTATATTATAAGCATTTATCACCGTGCCTTTTCCCCATTTCCTTATCTTAAAAAAATTGGTTCTAGTTCTTGGTCCTGTCCCATGACTCCTTTCCTCTCTCTCTCTCCTTTCCTGAAGGAGCATTCAGCTCTCTTGTAGCCTCGCCTCTTTACTTTTTCCTATTTATTGATCATCCCATTCAGTGGTCAGGCTGTTTTTCTTTTCTCATTAAATCCATTTTGGAGAGTGGTTTATTCTGGAAAGCTTTAAAAGTGCTGTCTTCTCCATTGATTAATATGAATGTTATATATACGAAAAAAAGATGTTTTGTATCACTAATATTTGCTATCTTTCTAAAAAAAAGTTAAAAAGCTCAGAATTTTACCTATTTTCTTTGTCACTAGGTAGTCCATCCTTTCTATGCTTATTGGCAGAGTTTCTGCACTCAAAAGAATTTTGCTTGGAAGGAAGAATATGATACACGACAAGCTTCAAACCGCTGGGAAAAACGAGCCATGGAAAAAGAAAACAAAAAGATCCGGGACAAAGCAAGGAAAGAGAAGAATGAGCTCGTCCGGCAGCTGGTAGCTTTCATCCGTAGAAGAGATAAGAGAGTGCAGGCACATCGGAAACTTGTGGAAGAACAGAATGCAGAGAAGGCGAGGAAAGCCGAAGATATGAGACGGCAACAGAAGCTGAAGCAGGCAAAGTACGTAATACAGCGCTGGTCCTTTTCACAGTGTAGGGGTCAAAGGAAGCATAGCTGGATCCTGACATGGCGTTTTCATGTTGGCTTCAGTCATCATCCTGGCTTCATCTTTCTTTTTTTCTTTTTAAAATCTTGACATTGGATAGTATTTTTAATATTGTGTGAAAGTTTTTATTTTGAATTGGATGTTTTCCTTTGGAGGGCTTTATACTTGAGATCCTTTAGACTTTTGTAAAATTTAATAATTTTAATTAATGTCTAATGTTAGTTGAATTCTCACTCTTTGCAAGGCCTTGATTCTAAGTGCTTTCCTCACAGCAGTTCTATGAAGTAACTTCTGTTTTTATCTTCTATGCGCTTTTGAGGAAATGAGGCAGACAGGCCTAAGATCACAGAGCTAGTAAATGACAGAGTCAGGAATCAGACCCAAGAAGTCTGACTCCAGAGACCCTGCTTTAACCACCAGGCAGTACTGCCTCTGTCGGTATCCTCTGAGATATTCAGTTCATTTCCTTCCCTTTGTTGTTACCGTAATAGCATTGAATCCAGAGCATTATAATATTCTTTTAAAAATTATTCGCATAAAAATTCTACCCATTCTGCTTCTCGTCTTTTGAAAATTAACACTTCACTTGGCACTATGACTTAAAATCACCTGAGGACCTTTAATAAGTTGCTAAGAGTTATCTATTTCAAAACCCATTATCTAGTAAAGCAATTAAAGTCATCCACGTAACACATAACAGGTTTAAGTGACTTTGCCCAGTTTTAACTAAGCACAGGTTTTAAGTTTGTAAGCATTGACAGCTTGAGAGGAAGGTCTCTAGAGGGATGGATTTTAAGCCTAAGCGGAAACCATGCAGAGACACACATGTCAGCGTGAGACTGTGCTGTGTGTGTAGACTGGCGGAGCAGTACAGAGAACAGAGCTGGATGACCGTGGCCGATTTGGAGAAGGAGCTCCGGGAGATGGAGGCGCGGTACGAAAAGGAGTTTGGAGATGGATCAGATGGAAATGAAATGGAGGAACATGAACTCAAGGATGGACAGGATGGTAACTTTCTCTGTACATTAAGAAATTTTAGAAAATAAATGTTGTATGTAGGAGTGTGCACTCAAATGCCAGCTGGTGCCAGTAAAGGGGCCCAGGTGTAAGACAACAGGGAATGGGGGAACAACTAAAAATCAGAAAACACCTGAGTTCTAGTCAGTTGTTGCCAGGATCATGCCAGAGTCTTTATTTTTATTTTCTTTCTTTCTTTTTTTTTTTTTTTTTTAAATGAAGCTGGAAATCTGGATTTTTATGTGGCTTATCCCAATTTTTAAATGTGGTGAATAACGAAAATTAAAAACAATGTTGTATGGGCAAACAAAAGTAGTCTGTTGAACTAGTCTATTTTAGGTAATTTGATTAAGAAACTCTTTTCTGACATGTCTTAAACGATTTGCACTTCTAGCTGCATAATATGACAAGTGGGCATATTCATAGGTGTGACTATTAAAGAAAATTCATTTAAGCAGTAGGTCAAGTTTTAATAGTAACTATTTCTAGAAACTGCTGATACTGTGCTAGAGTCTGTATATAAATTTTCCTCTCACTTTATAGAGGGTCTCCTCTTAGTGTGCAAAAATGTTTTTTTCCTCTGCCTCTATCATTAGTGCACAGGTTTGTGACTACCTTAAAAGATGAGAATTAGGCATTTTTGAGAATATTAGCTGTATACTTGATTCCCCACCTCCATCTCTAGCTCTTTCATGAGGAATAAAATTGAATTATCTAAACATAGATAAGGTAAATCCCAATTTTACCTATCTACAAATGTGGTTTTTTAGACTAGTAGCCCAAATGGTAAAATAGCAAATTTTTATTTATTCCAAATGACTAGGAAATGAAATGTTCTATTAATGAATCAGAAGTAGTACAAGTAAAAGTGCTTTGAAAATTGTAAAGCACTCTATAAATGTGAGGTGGCCTAATCTACACAGAGTTTTATTACATCTGGGATCTCCTTTGATCCTCACACAGTACCCCTTACACATAGGTTTTGCTCGTGGAATTATCTCCATTTTACTGATGAGGAAACCAGGACTCCAAGAGGCAATGGGATGTGCCTGAGAATGTGTGACCATTTCTAGATACAGATTTTTTACTTCAAATGCAGTGTTATTAACTATTTGATTAATTAAAGTTTATTTCGTGTATATGATATATTGAAAGTATACACATACTGTGATTGGAAAATAACATCGTGTACTAAACATTAATGCTAGAGAGGATATATTTTGGTCACTTATGATTTCAGCAAGATTACTTTTCAGAATGATATTAACATCACTTATTATACAGAACCAAAATGTAGAATATGGGAGAGATACCGTGGAATCTTTGTTGGTCCTATAATAAATCCTAAATCAATTTACTTGTTTATTTCTTTTAAAAAAATGAGATTATGCAAAGGATTTCAAGTTTGTAAAGATAATGTTAAATTTTACCTGTACTATGCTATGTTACGGCCTGTTTTATGGTGATGGAATGTTGTAAAGTAAGTTTAAGCGTTTAAGAGTAGATCACAGTTGCAAGTGTGTTTGGACCAAATCTTGCTCAAGAAGTAAACTACAAAAACAAAACTTTATTGAAAAAACTAATTCATCTTAGAACTATTAAAGTGGTATTTACTTTTTTAAACTTAGCTTACACCCAGCACTTTAAGAAATTTTTGAATCTTCTTCTAAGTAGACTTAATGAAAAGAACTTGAAAGGTAAAGTGATTTATTTGGAAGCCTTTCCTTTTAATGCAGTGCTGCTTTTAACTCAAATTCTGATAGCATTATTTGGTTTTTTGGAAAGAAATCCAAAAATTCAGTTTCTAATTTATGTCCAGCTTTAGATCCTTACTAAAGAGATGTAATTTATTAACATATTTTAGATTTGCATTCTAACCAAACAGGATTCTTACCATCGGCTTCCCTCTTACAGGGAAAGAGAGTGATGAGGCCGAGGATGCTGAGCTTTATGACAACCTATACTGCCCGGCGTGTGACAAATCTTTTAAGACAGAAAAGGCGTAAGTTTAATATCTTTGAACTCACCTTTTCTTTTGAGGTGAAGTGTAACACTTTGAAAGTCCTGAAAAGAATATGCTGGTAGCAGATGACCACCAGCCCCTGCGTGTCATCTTCGAGGGTTCCTGGCCAGAATGGGAGGAAGAGGTATTTGTACCAGCAGTTAAGGCTTTTGTCCGATTCTCATTCATCCTAATGTTCCTATGGTAATAGCTGCCTTTTAAATACTTACACTGTCTCCAGAAAGAAATGTTGCTTGTTTTGGCAAAGAAGACACAGTCCGAGGAGGCTAGACCACATCTAATCATCTCCCTCCATTGCTAGTGTCAGACTCACTTCCAACCATCGGTGTCCCATGTAGGCCGTTGCTGCCAACCCAGGAACTTTAACTTGTCCTGCCTAGTGTATGTTTGCTGAACTGGAAGCTCTTTGTCTTAGGGGAACAGTCACACAGAGAGAAGTATTAAAAAGGATACCATTATAAAGGAAGGGAGAAAGAACATGGGAGAAAATGAGAGTAGAATCAGCAAAACAATGTGTGCAGTTAGGAAGAAAGGGTACCAAATTGAGAACAGGGATGTGGGAGGCATAAATAGTATTACCCTATAAGTCCAAGGGAGAGACAATGGAGGGTAAGAGAAGTGTAGAGACAGACAGGAAAGTTAGAAATAAGCAAGAAAACAAAAAGCAACAATGAAGGAGATTTTAAAAATTATTTTTTTAATTTGGAAATAATGTGACACAAACTCGCAAGAGTGGAATATAGCATAACTGCTTTAGCAAACTGTTGCTGATATTTTGTCCTATTTGCATATGCTGCTCTCTTTACTCACACACACACACATAGACACGGTGTTTTTCCTGAATAATTTGAAGGCAAGTTTAAGAATAAGGATATTCTCTTACATAACCAAAGTATAGCTGTCACCTTTAGGAAATTATAACATTGATACAGTACTTTTTTCTAGTTTACTGCTCATATTTCAATTTTGTCATTTGATCCTTCATTAATATGCTGTATAGCACTTTCCCCACTTCAGTACGGAATCCAGTCTAGGATCACATATTATGTTTATTTGTCTATTTAGTCTCATTTAAGCTGGAACATTTCCCTTGTCTTAATTGTATATGCCATTTACATTTTGAAAGTATATTAGTACTTTAAAATACTTTTTTCTTAGAATACTTCACATTTTGAGTTTATGTGCTTCCTCGTGATTAGATTCAGGTTGCGCATCCCCAAGTGGGATACTTCACAAGCATGTTGTGCAGCTCTCGGGCTCATAGTTGGAGGCATGTAAAGTCCTTCTGCCACTTATCGGTGGTGGTAATTTTGCTCATGCAATCAGGGTGACATTCAGTTTTTCTACTGTAGGGTTAGTATTTTTTCCTTTACAACAAATTTTCCCTTGCAGCATGCTTGCTTAATCTGTGAGGAGACACTTTGAAACTGTACAGATACCTTCTGATAAAAATTTCCCTCCTGGTTACAGCATCCGTTGATGGTTTTAGCTTGTACCAGTCTGTACTGTGACGGTTGCAGAATGATGCTCTCCCAGTGCTCCTTCCACATTTATCAGTCAGCCCTTGGCCGTCTGCTGTAAACAGGAGCCCTCCCTTTTACCCGTTTATTTATCTTTCTATTATCAGTATGAATTTATGAATTTTTTCCAATGTTTGTAATTCGTTACTGCTCTTTTCACACTCTAATTTTTCCAAATTTGGAAGAGTTCCCTCAAGCAGCTCCTTTGTCTGCTTGACGTGTCCCCATCATTTTTTTGAGCTTTTTACTTTCTTATACAGGTGTTCCAGTTTCTCCAAGGGAGCTTGATAGAAAGGAGTATTTTAGTGGGGAGGAAAAGTAGCAGCCAAAACTAGAATACCAAAAACCCGAACAGATGCGATACAGTAGATAGTAACACAAGTTTCCTACTTCCTAGTTGCTCTAACTCTGGTAGCTTACGTTGTCAACTCTATTTTGTAAAATGTTTTTTAGTTGCCCACAGATACACAGAAATAGATATTGCCTACAGAGTTTTGGACAGAGAGGTAGAGATGTGTCTGAACTTGTATTTAGGGTGGTGGGAGTGAGAAGGGAGACCTCTCCTGAGAAGGTGAAAAATGCAAAAGGAGGTAAACTGCTTTTGTACTTCCAGCCCTCACATCACCGTTTTTCTAGTCCAGGGAGTCTTCCTTTTAAAGTTGGAATGTGTGTCTTGTGATTTCCCAGTGATTCCTCAAAACCTGTAGCATGGCCTGGGACGTAGAAGCACTTAGCAAATACTTAGTTATTGAAAGGAAACAATGAAGAAGACTTTCATTTTAAGAATTGAAAAATCAAAATAATAAATGGAGAATTTGGCCAAAAATAAAAGAAGGAAGAAAATGTATATTAGATAAAAGGACAGAGAAAGCAGGGAATGCATGTGAGCTTCCAGTGCCTGAGGAATCTTCATAGCATTCTGTTTTTCTGTATAAAATGACTAACATTTTGCTTAGTTAATGGGAAAAAAGTAAATTTTAACTTGGTCGCAATCATCCAGCAACATATCTGGACATGTATGAATTAATCGTAGCACAGCTACTAACATGAGATTGTTCTTTCAGCATGAAGAATCACGAGAAGTCAAAGAAGCATCGGGAAATGGTTGCCTTGTTAAAACAACAGTTGGAGGAGGAGGAAGAAAATTTTTCAGGACCTCAATTTGATGAAAATCCATTGAGTGACAATTCTGAGGAAGAAATGGAAGATGCACCAAAACAAAAGTACTTCTTTAAATGTCACTAGATATACTTATCACATTTAGAGATTACATTTAAATGCTCTTTTATCCTAAGGAAGTTACTCTGTTATGTTAATATTTTCTGCATCTCTTCTAGTTAATGGACTGTTATAGTGGCAAAGAGGGTAAAGACATGATGTCAAATATAATTTTTATGGACTATGTTATGACTATATTAAAAGCAGTGTTTTACCTAGGCAATCGATATGCTGATTACTATCCATTGAACCACAACCACCGTTCTCCGGTTATCGATATTATTCTCTTAAGTGACAATGTGAATATTTTATTTTCCTTTTAATGCTTTATGATATTAAATATTTTACTT